TTCGAATCAGTGGGGAAGATTAAGTTGATGTATTTTTTTTAATTAAACTTAATTACGTGATCATCTATTTTTTTGAGTTTTAGTTTAGAACATATTATTGAAAAAAATATTAATTTTTTTTTTGTTTAGAACATGGTATTGAAAAAAAACACATGTTATTAAATTGTAAAGAGTTTATAGGCCTGTTGTCGGACTTGGTGAGTTTAATGTTTCTTTTTTCTTTGTTTTTAATTTATTTTTTTAATTATATCTTTTGATATTTAACTGATTAAGAATTGAATTTTATAATTTATTTTATTTTATTTTTTATAAAATTATTATAGTATTTAAAAAAGTCTTGATATTATTTTGATGTTTGGTTTTGTAATCATTTATTTTTGTTATTGTATAGTTAAATAAAAAATAGGTAAAAAAAAACAAGTTATTAATTTCTTTGTTATCCAGTTTGCGAGTTTGATGTATTGATTATGGTTATTTGATTTATGGGTTTAAGAGATTTACCTATTAAACTTGATATGTTTTTAATACAATTTTTGTTCTTTTAATTTTTTTTCATTTTTTTTTTAATATTAGATTGGTTAGGAAATGAAATTAATGATTTTTTTTTTGTAGGGTTATTAATATCTTAATAATGTCTTTTCAGGGTTGATGTTTTTATCAAAAAATAAAATAAAGATAATTTACAAAAATAACAATGCTACACGGAAAAGTCTATGACCTAGTCTGTAGTTTGTTGAATGATTGAAGTTGATCTAATTTGTTATTGTCATCTTAAAGTCTTTTTAAAAACTATAGTTTATTTTCATGAGTCATTAAAGTTATTTTTAGATCTATTAAAATTAAAAAACTCATTTTGGATAAGTTTTTATGTGGTTTAATTTAAAATAAAGTTGATAAATTTTAAAATTGAATTGTTTAATTAGATTTAATGATACTATCCAAAAAATTTGACTTTTAATATTGTTTTAAGTTTAAAATAATAATAATCTGACCTATAGCAGAGTGCGAATAATTAAGGTATGAATATTTAAATTTTTTTATTAATTTGATAGGTAACTAGTATTTAAAAATATATTTTCATTGAGGTTTTATATTATTGTATTATACCTAAAGTATCATTAAATTCTCTAACTTAAACATGTTTTATAATAATAAATATTCATTTTAAATTTTGACATATCTCACAATTCAAAAGATTGATTGATATGTTTAACTATTAAATTGAGAAGATAAATAGAGGGTTAAGTTTAGAAAATAGATATTGATTCAATTCAATTTAGAACACCATTCGGTTATTAGATCATAAATGAAGTTGTAAACCTTAAATTTAGGTTTGATTTATCTTGATGGAAAGATAAAACATAGGTATAAAACATTTATGAAGAGTTTAAGATTTAAAACTGTCGTTTTCAAGTTCAAATATTAGCAACAAAAGAGAAATCTAAATTTATCTTACAGCTTAGATATTATTAGGTGTTCAGCTCATATCTCGAATTTTAAAAATTCAAATGAACTTTTTTTTTATTGGAAAGCAGAGACAAATACCTAAAACTTTCATGAAAACTATTTATTTAAATGTTGATGTTAACAGTGACATTTTATTTTACTATCAAGTCAATAGCTAGCTACTAAGTCAAGAGTTGACTACCAACTCAATAATTAGTAATCAACCCAATAGCTCTGAATTTTAGCGTATAAAAAAAGTATTTGCCATGTATTTAGTTTTATTTTCAAATCAAGATTTTGCTTTTAGTTTCTTTCTTTGTATTTTTTTAATGTTTAAGTTTTATTTTATTTTATATTCTCATTAATTTCTTATTTATGTTTATTATTTATTTTACTATACTTAGTTAATTTATATCATAATTATGTTCTTATCTTATTTATTTATATTTTTCATCTCCATTATATTTAGCTAAATTTATTTTTTTACGGTGGAAAGGTTACATTAATGGTGCTAGAATAAATATAGTATAAACTCAACATGGATTTTAATATTTATATTCAAGAAAATTTGTTATTGGCATTGTCATAACCCAATTTTTGAATAAATAATAAAACAATAAATTGATAAAAATATATTTGAGAATAGGGTTAACACAACATAAAATTTAAAGTTTGAGGAAGGAATTATTAAATTTGATAGTCAATTGGTCAATAATTGAAGAATTAATAAGTTGGAGAATTTAATTAAAAATTTAGATTAGTTTAATTAATAAAATCAGGTGTTTAATTAAAAAATTGATAAGTTTGAGGACTTAGTTAGGTTTTGATTTAATTAGTTAAAGAAATCAAGGGTATGATTAAAGAAATACCAGAGTTGTGGGTTGATTAGAAGCAAAATTTCAGGAGATTTATAGAATTCGTGATACGGGTTGAATATTAAATAGTATCTGGACTATTAAACAGATTCAGATTTTTTTTTTGTTGATATAATTTGAACTTTAAAACGACAGCTTTGAATCTTGAACTCTTAATGAATGTTTTAAGCCTATATCTTAACTTTGCATTAAGATAAATCAAATCTATATTCAAGGTCTACAACTCCAGTTATGATTTAATAACCAAATAGTATTCTAGTTTGAATTGAATCAGTATCTCTTCTCTAAGATTTATTCTCTATTTGTCTTCTTAATTTCAATGGCTAAACACTTTAATCAATCATTTAAATTAAGGATCAAACATTTTTTGTATCAGGAATTGTATAACACAAATCTAGATTAACTATTTAACAAGTAAGGTATTAAAAATTAGTAAGATAACAATTATAAAGCATGTCAATAGCAAACGTTCTTGAATATAACATTAAAATCCATGTTGAGTTTATACTATACTTATTCTAACACATTATTAGTGTAAACTTTTCACCTTGATAAAATAAATTTAGTCCATGTTGAGTTTATACTATATTTATTTTAACACATTATTAATGTAACCTTTTCACCTTGATAAAATAAACTTAATTAAATATAATAAAGATGAGAAACATAAATATATAATATTAGAAAATAGTTATGATATAAGTTAATTAAGTATAGTAAAAGAAATGATAAACATAAACAAGTGAGAATATAACATGAAATAAAACTTGAACATTATAAAAATACAGAGAAAGAAAGCAAGAGCAAGATCTTGATATGAAAAACAAGGTGTCTAAATATATGATAAATACCTTTTTCTGTAGGCTAAAATTCAGAACTATTGATTTGATGACTAATTATTAAGTTGGTGACGAACTTTTGACTTGGTAGCTAACTATTAACCTGTTGACTAGACAAAATAGTATTGCTAACATTAGAATTTGAATAGATGATTTTCATGAAAGTTGTAAGAATTTGTCTAAGATTTCCAACAAAAAAAGAAAGAGCTCATTTGTACTTTTAGAACTTGAGATATGAGTTGAACACCAAATAATATCTCAGTTACTAAACATATTCAGACTTCTCTTTTATTGTTAAGATTTGAATTTAAAAATAGTAGTTTTAAATCTTAGACTCTGTATAAATGTTTTATGCATATATCTTAACTTTTCATCAAGATAAACCAGACATAAATACAAGGTTTACATCTCTAATTATGACTTTATAATCAAATGGTGTTTCAGTTTGAATTGAAGTAGTATATTTTATCTAAGTTTATCCCTCTTTTTATCTTCTCAATTTTAATAATTAAACACCTCAATCAATCTTTTGAATTGTGAGATATGTCTAATTTTAAATGAACATTTACCATAAATTAAAAATATCTTATATTATCAGACCTGTTATTATAAAATATGCTTAAGTTAGGGAATTTAATTATATTTTAAGTGTAATATGATGATATAAAACCTTGATGAAAATGTGCTTTTAAATATTGTTCAATAGGATATTTATTAAATACGAAACTCAATTTATATTTAATTCAAAATATAAATATTAATGTAACACAAAATACATTCTTCTCAAAGTTAACTTTAAATTATTTATAATTTTGACATTTAATACAAACACATATTAACACGTTCTATTTTCTTAAAAAAAAAACTTTTGAAACTATTTAACACGTTCTATTTTCTTAAAAAAAAAAAAACTTTTGAAACTACATTATTTTAAATTATTTTTTTAAGTTTAAAGTGATGTTTTTTTATAAAAAAACCTATTTTTTCCGCTAAGTTACCCTAAATTCTGTAAAACCAGTTTAAAATTAATGAGTTTTGAGTAAAATTATAATTAAAAACTTTTAAATTTTTTTTAAAATTTTTTTTTTTGGTATGTTTGACAAGTAGAGTGTTAGACCATTTTGATTTTGTACTTAATATTTTTTTTGTTAAGTAACGAATAATTTTTATTTTGTAAAATATAATTGAAAAATATATCTTATTTATTTTTAAATTTTTTTTTATTAAAACAAGGATTGGAAACCATTAATCAAGTAATTTTTAGCTTAAGATACTCTAATTTCATTAAGCTAATCTAGATCCCAAGTACATGAATCGTTGAGTAAATCCATGTTGGATGGATCATTGAATTAATCCATGAATTAATCTATTATCAACCCTGTCCTAGGATCCACATGATGAGGGATCTAAGTCATTTGAAAACCAAAAACCAAAACAAACGAATAATTGCATCTTTTGTTTTTAAAAGTTGAAAACAGTAGGAAATAACAATAATAATAAATTATACCACAATTTGTTTATGTAATTATTCTCCGGGATTTTAATAGGAGAAAGAAATGAAATGGTTTGGTTTGGTAATTTTTTTTTTGATTAACGTGGGTGTCCGGGCCAGCTTACGCGCACCACGACTAATCCCACGGCCCACTGGACATCCTGCAAGCCTCAGTGAACAGGTTAGGCACCGCGGGGGCGACAGGCGTACCACACAGCAAGGAGCTAGCAGAACCAGGAAGGACACCACTCGCCAGCCCCACTCCCACTGGGACTCGAACCGAGGTTCGAAAAAAGGCGAGCAGCGCTTTACGCCACTTGGCTACAAGCTGCTTGGTGGTTTGGTAATTTTCAAAGCATGGTTGGTTGCCGTGGATGGAAGGAACATGGAAGGAGGCTGAATATCCCCCAGTGTAAAGTTTTGAATATTGAAAAAGTAATGGAAGGTGACGTGTGGGTGTGTCACCACGCTTAACCTCACATGTCTTCTCATGCGCTTCCCCGTCTTGGTGGTGGCGCTGTCAAAGGCCATTGTGGGTTCGGTTTGTTTGGTTCTCTTCCATTCCTTTCTTTCTTTCTTCCCTCCTCCCTTCTCAGTTAAAGTTTCACTCTCTTTCCGGTTAAAACCCGCTATCTCTTTTCAAAACACGGAAGAAGAAGTAGAGCAATATCAGCAATGAAGGTTTTTCATTTCATCTCTCTACTTTAATCCTCAGCAACACCATCTCTCTCTTTCTACGTGCTCTGAAACTTGATATGTTTTTGAATAACAGGGAATGCAGATGGGACTGTGGTGGGTCTGGCTATATGGGTTCTTGTTGATTGGTCTTTCCTTGTATGCCACACAGAGGCTACCTTCTTTTAAGCTGACAAGACCCCAGAATTTCAACCACAAAGGTTTAAGCCCTCCGACAATTACTATATTTTCAGCGCCTACTGACCCTTTTGCAGCTTCAGCTGACTCCAAGCAGAGTCTTGCTATTCGATCATGGCTTGCTTTGTCCCCTCAAATCGTTGTCGTTTTGTTTACTCGACACCCTTCTTTTGCCTCAGCTTTTGGTTCCCGGGTTTTGGTTGACTCCACTATTGATTTCACGTAAGCATTTATTTCGCTTTTTGATTTGATTATTTTCTCGTCTCTGCAAAGCTATGCTTTAGATGGCTCTGCTCTGGATTGGTTAATGGCTATCTTAGGTCGGTCAACAAGTCTGTCATCTTGTTTCTTGCCCAATTTTAATACGAGGAATATGCCATTCCATTAGTCTTATTCTCTTCTTATTCGAGTGTTTTCTAGGTTTCTTGGTACCCCATTCTTTCATTCCATGCTAGAGAAATCACGGTTATTCACAACAGACATAGCTGTTTTTGTTGATCCACAAACAGTTCTTCTGCCTGACCTCATATCCACCTTAAATTATGCTTACAAACTTGACCGTGACTGGCTTCTTGTGGCTTCGTTACGAAATGTTTCGTACTTCCCGTTCCACTTGGATGATGCTGGGGAACATTGGCTCAGAGACGATGGACAAAGGGTACGACGCCAGGAGGTATGAAGGATTCCTACCCCAGACTGAAAGTTGACCGCCTATTTGGGACTACAACATTGACACCATTCTTGATTCCAACAGTTGCAGGAGATACTTGGTCATCATTGGGAGTGGAATCATTGTGAGGACAGAATGCTTATGGCATGGAACAACAGAAATCTACCTTTACATAATGGAGTGCTTCCTCCTTTCTTGTATGGCAAGGGGATTCACAACCGCTGGATAGTCAATGAAGCTGTGTCATCTGAATTGAGGCTTGTCTTTGATGCGAGTTCGACAATCTCATGTCTCTCTCTTAATTATCCTGAGCATTGGTCTGAACTGTCAGTCAGAGGATCCAGAGTTTTAGAGATTGAAAACAGAAGCTGGGAGGAAGGTGGCAATTCCCATCTGGGTGCACTATATGGCTCAATGTTTTTCCGAGAAATTAATTATTCTGGCCTAGTAAATCTTTTGAATTGTGAGGGGCAATATCTTTTTGCTGACATAGCTGAAGACAGCGTTTATCCATCTGTGTGCCAGACAGGAAGTGCATGGACTAGAAGGGTTTTGAGATCCTGTACCCAGAGGAAAAGGATGGTTTCTGCAGAAATTGTTAAATCACAAAACAGAACATCAAATTGTTCCATGAAAGACAAGTTAAAGTCATCGGAATCATTACATTTTCCATTTTCTTTAGAGTCACTCCTTTCAATAACTGCAGACGAGAACAAAACACTCGTGCTTGCTGTTGCTGGATATAGTTACAAGGACATGCTAATGAGTTGGGTGTGCAGATTACACCAACTCCAGGTCACAAATTTCATCATTTGTGCTCTTGATCAGGAAACATATCAATTCTCTGTCTTACAGGTACTGCTTTATTGCTTTCTGTTTCTCTTGAGTTTTAGTTTCTTGTTCCAATTCAATTAAAATGGGGGTCACTTTCCCTGCTGTGCAATTACAGGCACGTGGACAGGGGCATGCTCATAAAGAGATTATTTGTGATTCTGTTAGACAAATTTTGGGCTACTGGCAGTATATTGGTTTAGAGAAGGGATGTAATAGTTACATTTGCTCTTTTTCTCCTTTGTCAGAAATTGACATTTTAGGATGAACTTGAACATCTGGGGAATGGACTTTGCTTGGACCGTTCTGTATTTATGGTTTTGAGTGCCCAGAGGAATTCTAAGGTTTATTATGGCCTGGGTGCAATTCTTATTGTTTAGTTGCACCAAATGGTTTAGGCCAGTAAATTTTTACATTTGTATTCTGTCATGCTTTCGGAAGATTGCCCCGAAAGTTCTATCTGGATTTTAGTTGGGGATTTCCCTCCCCCCAAGCTGTTGTCTATTTGTGTGTGTTAATTGAAATTTTCTATTTTTTGTTAGGGCCTCCCTGTTTTCCATGATCCATCAGCGCCGAGAAACATAAGCTTTAACGATTGCCACTTTGGAACAGCATGCTTTCTGAGAGTCACCAAAGTGAAGTCCAGAATGGTTTGGAAGATACTGAAACTTGGGTACAACGTACTTCTAAGTGATGTCGATGTTTATTGGTTTGGGAATCCGTTGCCGTTGCTTTATTCTTTTGGTCCTGGTGTTCTTGTGGCACAGTCCGATGAGTACAATTACACAGGTGAACTATCTCAAAAAATTATCACTTAAATAACTAATTTCTTCACATTGGCTTAGTGCACACTGGTTCAAGGGGATCAGAGGGAAACTAGTATATCTAGAATATCTAGTTGAAATCTGGTGCAAATGACTTTATTGACTTTTTTCGAACGACCCTTTCTTATGTTTTGTAAAAGTACAAATTAGAGGGGCAAAAAAAAAAAAAGAAAAGTACAAATTAGAGGGGCAAAAGGGAGTTTAGATTACTGTTACTCTTGGGGACTGATACTGATCAGTTTTTGATGACTATTATAACCTTGTTTATCTCTATTATAGTCTTAGAAGTTCAATTGTAACCTATTTGTTCTGCTGTTCTATCTGTAGGACCTGTAAACTTACCCAGGCGCTTGAACTCTGGTTTTTACTTTGCTCGTTCTGACGCTTCATCTGTAGCTGCTATGGAGAAGGTGGTAAAGCATGCAGCAAGATCAAACCTGTCTGAACAGCCAAGCTTCTACGACACATTGTGTGGTGAAGGGGGATCCTACCGAATCAGTGATAACAGATGCGTGGAACCCGAAACAAATCTAACCGTTCATTTCTTGGATAGAAACCTCTTCCCTAATGGTGCATACTTAAACATATGGCAGAAGAAAAATGTGAAAAAAGCCTGTATGAAAAAGGGCTGTCTTATTCTTCATAACAATTGGATTAGTGGGAGAGTGAAGAAGTTGGAACGACAGGTTGTATCAGGTTTATGGGAGTATGATATTAGCAGAAGGATGTGCTTGCAGAGATAGTGCAGTTTCAAATTGATGCCATATTTTTTATTACTAGTTATTCTTGGGTTGGTGTTTCTTATCCGCTGTCCTATGCTAACTTTGATTTTCACGTGGAAGAAAGGAACGAAACTAATTCCCTTCCCCTATGCCAAAGAATCTCTTGATACCCTTGGTTTCATCATTGCCTTTCTATGGACAAAACACTAGTTAGATATGGCCGGCCATGAAAGCCTTGACAATACATAATAATATGGAAATAGCGCACATTGGAACAATATTCCCCACGTTCTTGTCATTATAGTGAGATGAAATATTGGGATCTTACAGCTTTTGATTGCCGGCTATGCTGAAGGGCTGTGTTCATTTGTTAGGCCTGAGTGGAAGTAAACAGAGAGAGTCCAGAAGGAAAAGAGAACCGGAAGGAGCTCCTCTATCAGCGGGCTTATCCATACAGTCGAGAGATTTTTCAGTCAGGATAGTTCATCCTGGTGGAAGAGAGGAGCTGTATCAATATGCCCTTCCTGCATCCCACTTAATGGAAAAATATCCTGGAATGTGCGTTGCTCGTCCTGGAGTTTTCAAAAATCCCCAGGAGTCTCTGTTATGGCCAGATGAAAATTTATTGCCAGGTCACAGATATCTTTTAATTCCATCCACTACTGCTCGGAAATTGACTCTTAAACACATGGGAAGGGTAAAAGTGAAAGGATTTGCTGAAAGTAAAGATGAGATAATTGATGCGAATATCACTTGGGATGAGAGCGAAGACATTTCCGAGGAATCTGTAGGTTCTGCGAAAGAATTCTATGCTTCCAAGGATAGGCGGCCAAGATACAAAGTGAAGAGGACTGTCAAAGCAAAGAAGCCTTTTGTACCCCCACTTCCTCAGGCAAGATCTTACCGTGTATCAGTGTGGGAACCCAGCTTGACTTCTGTACAAGAAGTTTCTCCATGACTTGGTTATCAACCAGATGTCTTGTACAACATGTATTCTGGTATGTGGACCGGTCCTTCTAAGCAGTTCTTTTTCCTCCCTTTCCGTTAGAGTTTTGAAGCATTTATCATTGTTTGTTGGTTTTGTGACATGTCTGCTACAGAAACTTTACCACGATAACCGAGTTTGTATAGAAATATTATTATTCCACTCATGAGCTGGAGGATCCTTCTTCTGTTTGTACTGGAACTGTTTCTTCCATTTTCTAAAACTTGCAGAATGTTCAATATTTACCTTGGTTGAATCAAGCATCAAGAACTTTGTATTCTGGCTGCGAGTATAACCATTAATTTTGTGATTTGTTTCAAGAGAGAATCCTGCTATGCTTCCTGGACCTTGATTCGCATGCTGATGTAAAATAATCTTTCATAGTGTTCTTAGAATTGCAGCCGTGCACCAGTCATGCCTAAACTTCTCTTAAAAGGTAATATCAAAGATGAGGTTGAGTTGGATTAACACGATCCGGGTGCTCGACCCACTGGGTGGTACAGAGAACTGGCATCAGTGTCTCTGGGTTCTCGTGTCAATATATCATTAAAAAAAAAAATCATTTTGTTTTCCCAGTTCCATAAGAAATTGCGACTGATGCTAAAAGGAAATCACAGCTCAAAAAGACGGCTTAATAACACGAATTCTTTTAAGAGATGAATGATTTTGATTAATCACATACATCAAGCTTTTTCATTTTGATCTTGTAAATTTATACTCACAATATGTAAGACAACAGCTTGGTCAAGATCCATGTGTAGAAAACTGCAAAGATAGCACCTGCTGGAATTGTCACAGCCCATGAAACCACAATCTCTCTCACGGTTTCCGCTCTAACGCTGTTCAGCCCCCTTGCAAAACCTACCCCCATTACTGCTCCCACCAAAGTATGGGTTGCAGAGATGGGCAGTCCCAGCTTCGATGCAACTAGAACCACAGAAGCCGCAGCAAACTCAGCCGCAAATCCTCTAGTTGGCGTAAGTTCGGTTATCTTCTTCCCAATTGTTGCTATCACTCTGTATCCCCACATCATTAGCCCTGCAACTATACCAAATCCTCCCCATGCTAGAACATCTAATGGAATTACAATATCTGTTCCACTGGCACCCCCATGCAGAATAGATAATGCAGCAGCCAAAGGACCTATTGCATTGGAAACATCATTTCCGCCGTGTGCAAATGACATGAAGCAGGCTGAGAGGATCTGCATGTATCCGAAAACTCCATAAACTATTTCCAACTGGGTACCCTTTGGTCCTGCGAAATCAGAGAGAAGCCCAATATTTTTACTGTGTATAGCGTTCTCTTTTGGCTCGGGTTGTGTCGAACTAGCTTTCACCAGGAGATGGCCAAGCTTTTTTCGGATAATTCTGTCAACTAGGATAGCACCAGCAGCACCACAGGCTAAAGCCAGTGCTAGAGCCAAAGGAAAGATCTCGCTTAGAGGAAAGGCTGCGAAAGAGATTCCAGTTACACCCAAAAAGACAGCAAATGGTGCGGCTGCAGCCGCAGCTTGTCCTGGATTTGGAGCGCTGTACACAAACTACAAAAGTTAAAGACGGTTAGAATTTTGGAATCGCCAATGATGAGGATGCTAAGATTTTCAGAAAAAAAGTTCTCGTTTGGTTGAACGCAACATATCTTTTGTATAGCATATTACAGTCAAGGCATACAATATTTGATATAAGTACCTAGCTTCACTGGTTCAAATCAGCCAAGTGTAAGAACATACCCTGCGGATGAATTTGTACACGAGAAATGACACCATTGCTCCCATTAATGGTGAGATCACCCACGATGAAGCCACCCTTGCCAGAGAACTCCAGAAGACAGCACCACGTCCCCCATAGACAAGACCAAACCCAACCATTGATCCTATTATACAGTGAGTGGTAGAGACAGGCCAACCATAATATGATGCAACCTGGACAAGTCAATAGATGACAAACTCACTAAATATATTAGAGAATAAGAAGATTCAGTTTCAGGCTGCAAAATTAACAGAAATCTAAAATTGATGTTTCAAGCAACTTGCGCTGTAAGGCAAATTTTGCTATTTTAATAGGTTGCTGTCTAACTAGATATGGTATGAGGAGTGCCAATACATACAGTTTCTTCAAGAAATTTTATGCTCTTACCAGATTATAGCTATCTGGTTGATAATCTTGGAAACCAGTATTGTTTCACCTAGTAAAACAGGATAACGCATTTGAAAGATCTTGAAAGTCACCAACAGCTACAAAATGTGGCATTTGAAGATTTTTTTGATATTAGCAGTATGAGAATGTAATTCCTATGCATGAAAGGGAGCTGCAATTCTGAATTTGATTGTTCTAGAGCATAAAAGGAAGTCAGCAAAGTTATAAACATAAGATCTCAACATTGTTTTGTTAGATTAAACAGACTGCCAAGAATTTTTGCCCCATCCTAGTCCTCTAGCTGTTTTATGAAAGAGCCTGCAAAGCCTTGTCAAAGCATCGCTTAATACTCATCATTATATCCTCATACGGAACGGTGATAGAAACCATTTCCCTGTTAGTCCCTTTTTTGTCTCAAATAGGTTGAGTAATTTCATGGTTCACAAGTCATAAGGTATCCGATTTCGGAGATACAGAGACTTTCTGGTGTTTCCTGCATCCCATGTGGATGCGGTAACACACTATGGAGTTCTATGAATCAAGAAGTTTTGCACGACAACCATCCCCATATTCTTATGGAATTGATTGGTCGCACAGCCATTAGTTGTTGTCACCGCTTCGGTTTGTTAGTCGAATCAAAATTCTAGCATCGACATCACAAGTATATATACTTATGTGTTTAGTTCATTTCTGTTATCAGAAAGGACCGGATATGTTATGGCACGGCTACGAAGGCTAGAGACACCAGTTGAATTAAGTTTTTATCAGCATATTTTTATCAAAAAATATCAGATAAATAAAAATTTATAGGTATAAATTTTCTAGAATACAATCACGCTTTAATACGGTTATGATTGGAAGTGACAATGTGTGCTTTCAACACACCCAACCATGGTTGTTAAAAATGCGTTTTAACTCGTAAAATCGTTC